ATGCGCCATTTGAACGCATTGCCACTAGTATACCTATACTAGAATTCAAGAGGCAGGTTGAAATCATAAAACACTTCTTATCGGTTGAGCGCTTAAAAGAGAAATAAAAGATAAAATAGAGAATAATAACTCTCTCTAAAAATAAAATTTGAAATTTGGGTACAACGTGGCAGCGTGGCAATTTGGAGCAGATGGAAAATCGGCGAAGCCGAGTAAGCTTTGCATCTAGATATAAAAACGGGCGCAAGTATAAATAGAGGGTTGCACTGCTGAGCTGGGTGACAAAAAATGATTTGACACAGTTCCGCGACTTTAATGGCGGCTTCCGTATCCCTTTCTGCTTCTCATTTATCACCCCGTAACGACACTCACAGTTTCCATTGCAATTTCTTCCGTCCGAACGCTTGCCCCTTACCTTTGAAATTGTTCATCACTGCTCACTATATTTACCCTCGTAGCTCATTTCTGCCCAACAGTCAGAAAACGCATAATTGCCAATTACAACAGATCTATGGCATTTACAATCAATTAACCTGATTCAATCATAAGTTTAGAATATTGAATTTACAAGCTTTAATGTAACAGAAGTTAACACAAGGGTGTAAGAGGGGGTGTGGACGGAACGCTGGGACTTTTATAATCGTAAGGGAAGTGAATAGGATTTGAGGAATAAAATGGAGGGTTTTCTACTACAATGACTCAGGTTCCTGCAACCATCATTGATGCACTCGTAATTTTATAAAAATGTAAACGCTCTCAGCTAAAACCACCGCAATTCAAAATTCCTGATTCTAAAAAAAATGATAAACAAAAAGAATGTGTCATTGTTTCCATTCTTGGCGTGCTTTGCGATATATCGATTAATTTGCCATTTAAACTAATGGAAATAGATCAATAAACGATGTATTATTAATCAATCGATTCCAATCGATACCAACCGATTATACAATTACGAGCTTAAAATCTCCCAAGTAAATTGCGAATATACACAGAAATGTACTTTTCAAAATCGTAAAAATTGTAGGCAGGCAGGCAGGCAGGTAGGCAGGTAGGTAGGTAGGTAGATGGTTTAATGCTGATTGCCGGTTTTAAGGAATGTAAGGAAAATTACGAGCACCTTAATCTGGTTGACTTAAAGACGTCAGATCAATAATCGACCCACTATTGAAAAAGAAGACATGAAAAAAATATTCAATGCCACGCGTCCAGGTTCGATCCCTCTAACAGCAGGTGGAGGAACCCAAAGCGTGGAGCAAACGGATTTCAAGGATTATACCGAGGATCTACAAATCGAATGATCAATGGGCGAGCTTTGGAGCAATTTCGAGGAGATGAGTTTCCATTTGTGGCACATGTCCGCAGCACCAGCTGCACTGCTGCACTCTGTCACGCGAATTAGGAACCGAGCCGGGCTCTAAAAAAGAGAGACCTCCTTGAAGAAATGATTCGCCATGGATGACCCTCGAATCTCTGAAAAGACAGCATTTTTTCCTCACCTTTTACGAGCGAATCCCATCTGGCTGGACGCTGACCTTCTCCCTGTCAGTGATTTACATGCATTTGCAATGGAACGCATAATATGAGGGCGAGTATAAGTGTGGCCAGACGCCTGAATGAATGGAAAAAGAAATTGTCAGCGAAGAAAATTGGAGAACGTGTACATTGTCTAAGACATCGTTTTGGCGCTTAAAGTCTTTCGAAGTGGATGATTTACCGATTATTTTCCTTATTTTTTCCCTAGATTTTTTTTTTTTTTTTTTTTTTTTTTTTTTTTTTTTTTTTTTTTTTTTTGGCCTCTTTCCCTTTTACTATGGTCCATCTTGATTTGTAGAATTATTTGAAAGATAAAGCATTTGTCTATACTTATTTTCCTGGTGGAAATAATGAAATGCATTCATATTTATAATACCTTTCTTTACTTTTTTTTTCATGCAAAGTCCCAAATGTCTGCATTACAGAGCTACTATCACATAAAAACAGCCTCTATACATACAGTCTGTCAATAATTGATGCCTACAATTTAGGAATAAAACAATTCTGGAACTGCATGCGCAATTATCTATAAATGGAAAATGAAAGACATAGAAAAATAATTAAGGATGCATCACACTGGACACGACTTCATATTTCGGGTACCTTTGGTCTGATTTTGGTAGGCGAGGGCTTAAAAAATGTCAAAAAATTATTCCAATGAAAATCGGATCTCGGAAACAATCTTGGAGCCACTGAGAAATTCGACAGTGAGCGCGGGATTGTCATTGCTCTTAAAGGAGCATGCCTAAGTTTCATGTAACTTGTCCAGAGGATATCTGCCGTGCTAAGGAAAAACGCCGTATGAACATTCGTGTTGCCAAATTTCCTCCGATAAAATGTTTATTTTTAATGAGAATTATGAATATTTCCTCTTGAAATTTTCAGATCATTTAGATTTGATCGCGAATAAAATTCTCTAAAATATTGGAAGAAAAATATTCTCAGATTTCCCTGAAATTTTGTATTTCATCAAAGGCAACATGGCAACGTCTAAAGGTTCATACGGCGTTCTTCCTTAGCATGACAGTATGGCAAGCACACTTAGCATATACGATACACGGGGCGGCGCTCTGAAGCGGAGCTGCGCGCTTGGAGGCTGCGGGGGTGCGCTTGGCCGCGATGGCCGCGCGCGGACAGTGTGAACAGTTACTCGGTGGAGGATGAAGTCCCAATGGCCGATTATCACGTATAGCGACCGCGACATCGTGCTCCGCAATTGCCCCTCGCCCTCCGTTCCCGTTGGTCCCAGCTCACGACCGAGCTGCGGGCTGCGGGGGCGTCGCACACGTACACGTCGTGGAGACTTGAACGCAGCGACAAGAAAGTATACGTCTCCGGCATCGGGAAGTGTGTCCCCGTGAAATCTAACTCGCTGTCCAGAAACCGCATACTTCCAAAGAGATCCTCGGGTGGATTTGCTTAGCTGGTGCTTTCTTCCGACACACGGACGAGTCCGCTCACTGTCAGAGTGTTGGTGACAAGTACTCGTCCTGGAAACTTCAGGTGACACTATAAAGCCCGACTTACACTATCAAACTTTTCACCTAACTTTTGGATGCAGCTTGTCGAATATAAAGTTGGATAATGTGATACCGACGAGAGGAAACATCAATTGGACGTATTTCTATCAAACGGACCTAAGCGCCATAGGCGGAGGAAAGGAGAGGGGGGCTTGGATTGGCGGATGTTGCGGAACGCGATGCTTGCTCCTCCTATAACCGCAATGCTTTTCCGTGGCGCTTAGGTCCGTTTGACAGAACGCGCTATCCGGGATTCTAAAATCTTCAAAAGGAACTCAATTTGGCGCTTAGTTCCGTTCGACAGAAATACGTCCAATTTGATGAAAGACTGAACGGAAACTTGAATCTGACGTCACATTTCACTTTTCGTTCCATCCAATTGGCGACGCCAACGGAAAGTTAAACGAAAAGTTGGAACGAAATCTTCCAACCGACATGAGCCGAAGCTGTATATCTTCGCAAACCGTAGGCTGATGACGATATCACACTGCAATGGTTATTGAATCAATTTTTTTTGCGTTCAACTTTTCATCCAACTTTTCGTTCAATCGTGTCGGATGAAATGTTTGATAGTGTGAATTGGGCTCAACACTTCCAAATGTGATAGCGCGCGAGACACTCTGTTCCACCATGGGGACCAAACGTCGATCGTTGAATTCTATAGTTCCAACTGAAACAAAAACATGAACAACCTCGAAAATTGAAGATTCATTCTTGACAGACGTGTTTTAATTTTCCTTCTGTGGCTAATTTCTAATACACCAGACAGATTCTGATAGTATTTGATATCATCAAGTCAGGTAACATTAAAAACGTCACCTACGTCATCGTTAATTGCGTTTCAAAGACATAGTCGATTAGCCTAAACTAATATGACATCTCGATAGTAAAACTACCCGACCACGTGTTTCGGTTCGCACCGTTGCAGACTTATGCCTTTCAGGTTTTAGTTTTTATATGGAAAACTACTCAAATACAATTCTTGAAAACTTCCGTGTTATTTCTTCACTGTGCGAAGGAAACTCTGTGAAAATTTCCAGAAATGGTGTTGATTATTTTTCCCTTCAAAGGAATAAAAAGGCTAAATAAAATCGGAACTGTGGACAATTTGGAAAAAAGTTATCTGAGAGTACCTAACTTGGGTCCAAATCTTGGAGAGCATAACTTGGCGATTCGACATTACGAATTCTGTCTTCTTAAAAATTATTTCAACAGATTCGAAAGGAATTGCTTCGAAAAAAAAGGGAGAGCTTCCTACAACAAAGAGACTGAGAGCGTCTTATTACCAATTGCGACACCGCCAGCCAGTACCCCTCTCGCTTGCAGTAATTTGTTTACCGAAGAATCAAAACGCGATGCCCCTCTCCAACGTGACATCAGAATGATCGTGTGACGTAAGTTCAAAGAGCAAGTAAAGAAACTGGGGAGGGAGGGGGGACGGTGAGGAGCAGGAGGGGGTGATAATGTAAATGAGAGAGTGGCAAGAGACATAGGAAAAGAAAGTATGCACAAGCACAACGACGGGTCCGCGATGGATTCTTATTACTCCTGCGGGTCAGGAGAAAAAAATACAAGTAATTACGGCTTAATGTATGCTTTACATAACAATCGATGAGCATTGTAGGTCGCCCCGCTGGAGAGACGAGAGCGCGGGTTGGAGGGGGGAGGGTGCTGCGAGCTGGGAGGGTGACAGTGCAAGGGGTTTAATATTGCCACCCATTTTGGAACGGATGGCGACCAATCGGCGTGAAGCTAACTGGTTCCGAAGAATAGACATGTTTGATTAAACGACGCTGACAATGCAACTAGCGGCCGGCTTACCCCACATGAAACTACCGTCTAACCCTCGGCCATAGTTAAATCGAGCCACCCTATTTTCCAGCGCGGCTGGTAACTGGGGCTAGTTAGTTTCAAGCATCAATCCGGGCCATTCCAACCCGCGTCGCTCAATGCCAATCTCGAGGTTTCACTGGAATAAGTTTTAATCTGGTTTTTAGTGTTATTCATCAGTTTTCAGGAAAGTTCGGTTAACCTATATCTAATCTTGGATACACTTCAATCATGTGTCGAGGAATGTATCATTGATTTTTTTCTGGATAAAATTTCAATCATTGATCAATTTCAGCGTTCAGCGGCTTCACTCGAGTTCCAAAATAATATTGTGGTGATTGCTCAAAAGTGAAACTTTTTACTCAACGTGAGTGTGGAGAATGATACGACCTAAAAATTTCTGAAAATAAAAGTGCTTTCAATCATAAGTTTACTATATTTGCGATTCACTGTTGAATATCATCAGTCGAGTTTTTACAGGAATAATTCAGAAAAATCCGTCAACGAACTATTGACAACATTTTCCTCTTCGTTTTGATGATTTAAAAAGTTTCTAACCAGACTCTTTACACTAGAACGGAGGTGGTATTTTCAGTTAGTGCCGAATTTCAAAATGTATCGTTTTTCCGAATAGAAAAGTTACCAAACTTATGCCGTGAATGAAAGAAAATTAGCGTGTTGTAAAATAAGATCTTTAAGAAAATCGTCTACGTTACCATTTTTTACCTTTAATTTTTTCCTTTGATTCGAGCACATACATGAGTCAAGCTGAGATATGTTTTTCAGAATTATGGTGTTTCTTCTAACAGCTTTTTATACACAACTTTAAAAATGGTTTATAACGATTAAAATCTATGGAATTTGACTGCTTCATCGGTAAAATATGACATTTTACCCCAGCCCAGCAAGTTACCAACAAGTGACGCAGTTCAACAACTTCCAATTTCAAGGTAAGTAAATGCTTCTCCGAGATATATTTATATTATCACTATACTTTGCGAAGCAAACAAAACGCTTACCTAAAAGGATAAATTATTTTCCTAATTTAAAGCAGATAAAAAAGTTCTAGAAATCTTTTTCTGGATGATTCGAAGCTGAATTTTGTATAATTTTTTTAATAAGTTCAACCATACAGTCCAACAAGAACTGTAGAAAGGTTTTGAGCGAAGTCAACCAAAAATGCACTATCTTGATTAAAATTTGAATACCCTTAAGAGGAAGTTTATCTTCGCATGACGATGATAGAAACCATCCAATCCACTAATAGATACCTATAACTTTTGATTCCATTTTACTAGGGCTCCTTGGGGAAATAACTAATTATAATAATTCGTATCCATGGTTTTTAATTTGATGGTTTTTAAATAATAAAAAAGACCAATATGATAAAAAAAAAGAATCACGGAAAAGCTGCTAAAATACAATTCCCTCCTACCGTTCGTTATAATCGTCCCGATTGAAACGTTCCTAACGTGTACAATTTATGTTTGCACAAGCTGAACATCCTAGTGTATTGCATCCGTTTTTTCACTCTTCGATATTTTATACAGTCGCACGACCATCAAGGCAGCACATTATCAATTCTAGCATCTACATATCGACGGTGAAATTAACAGACAACGTTTCTCGGTTTGCGACATTGCAAACTTCCTGTTATATCTTATGATCCGAATAGAAAACTACTCAACGTCAATTCTTGAAACTTCCGTGCTATTTCTTCACTATGCGAAGAAAACTTTGTGAAAATTTCAAGAAATGATGTTGATTCTTTTTTTCTTCAAAAAAATAAAGAGTGAGCTGAGATTTTTAAGCACCGCAAACGAGATAAGAAGTCTTGTAATTTCACCATCGATATTCTCTGCCGCATGGCGTTACCTTCGTTTTTGGTAGGCACCAACACTGTCGTGTTAAGGAAAAACGCCGTAGGAGCCTTCAGACGTTACCAAGTTTCCTCCGATAAAAACCGACTTTACTGGGAAAATTCTGAATATTTTTTTTCCCATGATTTTCGGACAGTTTTATACGCAATTTAATCTAAAATATCTGAAAATTTATAGGAAAAAGATGCATGAATGTTGTCAAAAATACATGTTTTATCAAGGGAAATTTGACAACTCTTGAATGTTTATACGGCGTTCTTCCTTAGCACGGAAGAATAGCCCCACTCGGCTTTGTGACTATTCCTGAGGGGTTGGGGCCATCACCTACCCAAAATCTAGGTTTATACCATTTCACTTTATCTTTTTAGGCTCACGCATTACACTGCTTTTTCGCCAAGTTTTTATTCCATTCCGAGTCCTTTTAAACCTTACCACCTTGGCAACTTCTAAAAGACCTGGTGGCAGGAGGAGAGGAGGTGCGTTACGTTGTCGATATGAATACGCGTGTTTATGCATATGAGGGGCACAAGTACGCAGCCGTGCTAAGGAAGAACGCCGTATGAACATTCGAGAGTTGCCAAATTTCCTTTCATAAAACATGTATTTTTGACGCAATTCACTCATTTTTCTCCTTGAGATTTTCAGGTATTTTAGATTAAACTGCGTACAAAATTTTCTAAAAATTATAGAGGAAAATCTTTAAAATTTTCCCAGTGAATTCTGTCTTTACCGAAGGAAATTCGGCAACGGCGGAAGGCTCATACTGCGTTCTTCCTTAGCACGGCAGCACGGGGCACGAGGCACGGGCTGGAGAAAAAGCACGGGAACAATTAGTTGACTGAAATGAATCGGTGCGATGGACTGTGGATGTTGGACGGGAGATGGGCTGATTGATTTGCCTGATCATCGCTTTCCAAGGCGAATGCAAATCGAACATCCGAACCGTGATACTTAGCCACGCTTGGTTACCATCCGCCCCCGGCGGCGCGGCGCCCCACCAACCTTATTGCCTTGCCCCCCTCCCCCCATGCACCCCCCTTAAAACCACAACAAATGCCTAAGGGTTCAGGCAATTGACCGCCACTCAGGGATGGAACTTACCCACCACGTTCTATATTTAATCATTAAAATTTTCCAATATAGAGGGTGGTTACATCAAAAATTGTTCAAATTCAACTGACAAATTTTCACTTTCTCATATCGGGCACTTTCTTGCAGCACTTTAATTCGGCTAATTTTTTCTTCTTTTTTTTCATTTTTTCTTTTTTTAACTTTAAATTTTTAGTCTAATATTATCAGATTTATTGTGACAGTGATTTCTATTTTTCTGGCATGTTATGGTTTAGCAAACTATACTCTGCGGCACGGTTCTATTACATTTTTACTTAGATAGTAAAGAGTGTTATACCTACTGTACGGTGTGGCTGCGAAATATTAGCAAAATCTGCAGCATTAATACAACTAAAATTGCAAACAAAATTGCATTAACCTTTCAGCTAGGTTTAAGTATCTTTTTCGAGAGAGTATGGATGTGTGTAATCCAAAAATTGATCAAGCCTTCTCCGTTGTCTCCGCAAATAAAATTTCAATGAGGGCGGCGTACCGATATTTTCAAAAGATCTATTCTTAATATCGCAGTCATTTCATGTTACTGTTAGAATCAAGATGCATTAATAGCCCTTAGCTATTATTTGAAACACATGTATGAGTTCATAATTCCCATTACTTCCCAAGTTTTAATGGAACAACTTTGAGAAAGTTGGCTTCCCCTTTGAGCCCGAAGGCATCCACCAAGTAATGGCATGCCGCACTTTCCCAATAAAATGCTCTAGTCCAGGTCCGACATCTTAGGAGAACACATTGGTATATTTCTCTCAGAAAAAACACCGAAAATACAGATATACCTAACTTAAAGTGACTAAAAAACACAAAAAACGCGTAATCAAAGGCTGAATAAAAACAAAACACAAAACCTTGGGCGTTTTGAGGTGATCTTAACTCCCTCCTCGACCGAGAAATAAATATGTAAAAAATTATAAAAATCAAAATACCTAGATCTACATTTCGTGATAACAAAGTGAGGTTATCACCCAAGTTTTTGTCATCGTGAAATGGGGGTACAAGTCTTTCTATTTTCATCATTTTTCATATATATTTGTTTCCCGGTCAAGGAGGGGGTTAATTCAACCCTGAAGTGCCCAAGCCTTTTTGCTTCGTTATTTTCTAGCCTTGGTTCCCCGTTTTCTTATGTTTATAAGTTGAATTATTCCGCTATTCTCGTCTATGTGTGTTATTTCCTAAGTGAAACATGAGGGAGAAAATTTTTTTAGACGTTCTCAAAGCTCTGAGATACACACTGAAAAAAAAGTTACGGGCTACATAGACATACCGTCCGTTCCGGGCGCTAGAGCCGTAGCTTCTATAAATCGTATTCGATAGAGATTCGCTGCATAGTTTGGTTCAAAAAAATATAGCATAACCTCAAACAAAAGTTTTGGGATTTAATATGGAAAAGCTGAAAGTGAGAAAACTCTTAACAATATCACTTTTCATTGCTATTTGATATTAGAAAGAATAAAAATTCGATCACAAATGACCCGTTATATTAGGTTTCTATTGTGAGGCTATGTTCACATATTGAACACGGAAAAAAAAAAGTGTCAGGGATTATCCCCCAAAATTGTTCTACTACCCAAATTTGTTGGATGATATGGACATTTCCAATTAATTATGGTAGCACCGCAACTCAAGTTGGGGTAGTACCGCAACATTTGGGTTAGAAACCTAATTTATCGGGATACTACCGCAACTATTTGAAGGGCCGGATTCACTTACTTGCCGCCCATGGGCTGCCTGTATTTTGCCGCCCCCTTCTCATTCGATTTGAAACTCGATAAAGACCATCAAGTGAACGTGCCAGCGGGGGAGGGGTGAATAAAACGCATTTACTCGTGTTGAACACATTTTTTGGGAAAGCCCTGTCAACACTATTAGCAAAAGTTCACGGAACTTTGTGCGAAAGTTAAGTTTCGTAAACCTATCTCTGTGCGGACAATGCCTTCCATGTTTGGCGCAAAGCGTAAAGTATTCAGACAGTCTTGTAGGCGCTATGCGTTTCACGCCGACCGCTGCTGAACGCACTGTGTTGGACGCAATGCGTGAAGTATTCACGCAGTCTTGTAGGCGCTATGCGTTTCACGCTGACCGCACTGTGTTTGGCGCAATGCGTGAAGTATTCATGCATTCTTGTTGGCGCTATCCGTTTCACACTGACCGCAATGACCGCACTGTATTTGATGCAATGCGAGAAGTTTTCGTGCAGTCTTGTAGGCGCTGATATGTGTTACATGCCGATCACCGCGCCGAGGGCTTCTCCTTTTCATCTCAAGTCCTCGTTATCATTTCTCTTTAAGTCGCGCCGTTCCAGGCAAAATTGCGTGTTTGGTTTCTCTCTTAACTCGACTAATTGAAGGTACGTTGTCTCTTGTATCACTAAGAGACGACAAAATTAGAAATTACTATACTCTGTAAATGAGAGATTTTGTTACCTTTTTTCGTTTGTAATTTTTTTATGTCTAAATCCAATTTTTTTTATACCTACAATTTAAAAAAATTGCACATTTTTGCCGCCCCTTAGATTTGCCGCCATGGGCCGCCATGGCCATTAGCCACCCCCTTAATCCGGCCCTGATTATTTGGGATACTACCACAATTAATCGGGGTTTTAACTCAATTAATTGGGAATGTCCATATCATCCAACAGTTGGGACTTAACCCCTACCTCTTTCTTTTCCGTGAACCAATCGATATCGATACAATCTCACCTGTTTGATGTATCGAATACGATCTATTGCTCCGAGTGCTACGCCCGGAACTTTCGGCCTATGAGCCCGGAACGCGGACGGTATGTCCATATAGCCCGTAATGCGGCCTCCACGGCCGGAGCTTTTCTTTCGGTGCAGGAGCTTTTTTTCCGGAAGATTTTAAAAGCTCCGGATTTTAGAAATAAGTCCGAGACATTAGAGCACTAAAGTGACTGATCTATCGCGAGCGGAGGACAGAACCGAGCAACTGTGAACCTCGGAGGAACCTGGTGGTGGTGCAGAGTGGTCAAATGACTCGGACAGTGGCGTGGCGTGAATTGCGATGTATCGATTAATATGCTGTTTAAACCTGCGGTAAAGAATCGATTATTAAGGTGTTCGCTGGGAACACCTTGTTTATCGATCATTTTCCATAGGTTTAAATGACAGATCAATCGATTCATCGCAAAGCACGCCACGCCACCGGACTCGGAGGTAGTGGTCCTAGGTCCGGAGCTAGGTGCTCTGGCGCGAGATCCTTTCAGGAGCCGGCGGCGGGTGAGCGCCGAGCGGTCTCAAGTGTCCAGCTCCCATTTGATGGATCGCCTTCATTTTTCATCCGGCTTATTTATGCATTCGTCAGTCCGACCAGTCCTCAAGAGCACAACCCTTGTCTTATACTTCACTTTGACTAATCTTCCTCTTCTCCTTCTACAGTGTGCTCCGCCGCCTCCGCCCTCCCATTTCTTTCCGCCGGATACTTTTACTTGGGATTTTTTTTTGTGATCATTCAAATCTCACCACTTCTTTTGAAAAATTTAAGGATACGTAAATAATTCCCCCATAGTGCAGATTGTACTGCGAAAAGAAATATTAAGAAATGCCTTCCATTTGAAAACAATTTTCTCTACTTGATGGAAGGTTTTTTCACTTGAAAATATGTTCTCTAAATTAGAGATTAATGTTTAAGCAAAAAAAAAAAATTAATCTGACCTGGCATCTACATTTTCTTTCTTTCAAAAAATGTCTCTTAAGCAATTTTTTTCAATGAATTATAGTTGATTAAATTTTCATACCTCCTTCGCGAAAGGACTTAGAAACTGAAGAAAATTATCTGAGAAAATTAAATGATAAGCATGTCTTGTTTTATCCTGCTTAAAATCTGAAATTAATGACGTCCAGCTATACCCAGCTATATTCGCATCATCTATATCAAGAAATTTGAGGAAAAGACGGGTACAGTTTAGTAAAAGACTGGCACCATGTGTTAGATGGGGACACATCCGAAAATGTAGGGCGCAGACGTTCCGGCGATGATGTAGCCAAAAAACAGAAGAATCAGTATTTTAAAGAAAATCAAACTTAGGAACTGTAGGTTCTCACTGGGAAACAAATGCGCTTGGATCTATAGTCCAGACTCTCAAACAATTTGACAAGAAAAAACCTCTTGATTCAACTGGATTTTTTCTTAAATCGAGAGCCGAGCCTTTAATAATTTAGGCGGATTTCCTTTTGATTCAAGCAAAAATCCAATTGAATCAAGAAGTTTTTTCTAAATAGAGAGAACATACTCTTGATTCAATTGGATTTTTTCTTAAATCGAGAGCCGAGCCTCTTAATTCAGGCGGATTTCCTTTTAATCCATGCAAAAATCCAATGGGCCTGTTGCAAACTTTTGCTAGAGCAAAACTAAGAGTTGTTTCTTATAGATAATGCCTCAAAAATCACGATGAGCGCATCGGCAAACTCTGAAATGCACTCATAACTTCACAATCTGCGTAAGAAATTTGCGGTTTTTTGAGCTTCCCGCTTCAAAAACGATACTACAGCACAGGTGAACATTTTGTAAGAGGAGTCGTTCCATCGTCGGCAATAATCATCATAGCCGACGCCAATCCGCCAAAACACGTTTGATGGGACGAGATAACACCTGAACTGGATTAGACCAGATAACAATCGGTGTGTTAACGTTCATATTTTCCACGCCCGAATTGATTGACCTTGAACTCTCCTTGAATTACGCGCGGAACTGCGTGCAAGCGTCGGCCATGATGAATATCGCCGACGATGGAGCGACTCCTCTAACAAAATGTTCACCTATGCCGTAGTATCGTTTTTGAAGCGGGAAGCTTAAAAAAACGCAAATTTCTTACGCAGATTGTGAAGTTATGAGTGCATTTCAGACTTTGCCGATGCGCTCATCGTGATTTTTGAGGCATTATCTATAAGAAACAACTCTTATTTTTGCTCTAGCAAAAGTTTGCAACAGGCCCATTGAATCAAGAGTATGTTTTCTTATCAAATTTTTTAAGAGTCCGGACTCTAGATCCGAGCTCCCTCTTCCCAGTGGCTGGGTCAAATATATCATTAATATAAACTTCGAAGGATTCTGCCTTTTTCTATTTCACTCGAGGGGAAGTGTCCCCTCCCGGACTCTCTTCCCCACCCGGTGACTGACGCTGCGCTGTGCTGAACGGTTCAGCCTGAACCTTTCCCCTACGTCTGACCGTTCCCCACTCCTCTGTCAATCGAACCATATGCCACCGCTTACGTATTGTCGCTCGCCCACCCAGGTACCTAGCGGCCAGCGGTCAGTTGATGATAAATCTCGATCATGCTCCTACGCAGCTACGCATTGACCACGCCAGCTAATTACTTTCTAATAATTAGAATTTCTTCGATAATAGTTTTCTTTATTTATTCGACTGTATTTTTTTCTCTGTTCTACTGTGATTTCCTTGGTTCTCTACTGTGTTTTTCTCTGAGTCAGAAATCTGAAGCACTTCGGTATGCACCGAGTACTTCAGATGTGTGACCTGAAATCTTCGGTATATACCGAACTACTTCAATTGTCTGACCCGAACTTCGGCAGATGGAC